TGAGGCTGAGAGACAGAGGAAGCACCCCTCTGGTACACCTCTACAGTGCTAGTGATGGCATACTACATCAATAAACAAGGGGCCTAATGTTGCGTGAAACATGAAAAGTAATCATGTGCAGTCTATCGTTGTGTTGTGACTAGCTAGCTGTACCTCACTGAGTGTGTTTACATGGGCCGTCAACCTGCAGAATGACTTGGCCCCTGGCCTCTTGTGTCTAGATTCAGACTGATGCTTCAAACCAATCCCAGTCGCCAAGCTCCTGTCACCGTAGTAGCCCCTGGATTTGGAAGGATTTGAACAACACCGTCATCCCCTCCCCCCATGTGTGCAGTGTGTCCGTCGTGACAGATCACCACTTGTAGCCACCACTGTACTTCGCCCACACTGGGCCCAGCCACGTCACACTGGCCCAGCCACGTCACACTGGCCCAGCCACGTCACACTGGCCCAGCCACGTCACACTGGCCCAGCCACGTCACACTGGCCCAGCCACGTCACACTGGCCCAGCCACTTCACACTGGCCCAGCCACGTCACACTGGCCCAGCCACTTCACACTGGCCCAGCCGCGACCACTTGCAGATGATGACAATAATGAAAAGAGCAGATTTGTGATGTCGTTCCTCCTCACCCCCGCCTCCCCCGAATTCTCCCAAGACCCGTCTCCCAACATTACCCACTTATTCAGTCCTCAGAGAAAGAGGGGCTGACACTTCTATTACACTGTGTCGCTACGAAAGAGAGGAGGAGGGAGAGAGTGAGCATGAAAGGACACTCTTTGAACCTATTCTTCCCCCTGGAGAAAGAGGGAAGGAAAGAAGGGTGGAAAAGCGTGGGGGATGCTCATTGCCCCCTTTCATACAGAAAGTGAGTGAAATGGAGGAGGAGGTGTGAGAGAAGCAGGGGATGGAGCATGGAGGAGTAGCAGGGGGAGTTCTAGGCCACAACAAGCAAAACTGTTGGAGCAACTGGGTTACGCAAACAGACATTCACCTTTTGAGCTGTAGCAAGCTTGTCCCTCAGTTAGAAACCAGAAGTAGTCAAGTCTTCCACTTATCTATGTTTGATGGAACATGCAGCCAGGCTTCCTCTTATGGGTTTTCCCATTATCATCATCCCACTCAACCCAAGCCAGACCCAGCCAACCAACCCAAGCCAGACACAACCAACCCAACCAACCCAAGCCAGCATTGTGCTGTGACCTGACGAGGACAGACCCAAGACTCCAAGGTTGGAGTGGGGGGTTTACTGACCGTGGGAGACGAGGGAAAATAACAAATGGCTCTTCTGCTTGACTGACCCACTATCCTATTGTCTTCTTTTGGGGTCAAGATCCAGGACACCTGCTGAGCCTCAGAGAGCAGAGAGGCAGAGACAAAACAATCATCGTAATCATATCTAGCCAGGGATTTAGTTATGAGAGATTTGTCAGGATTGATTTACGCAGAGTGGTTTTGAGCTTGTTGCTTTTTAGTCGTCATAAGTATATGGTGCATATGTGTGTTACATCTCTGTGTGTGTGAGACCCACTTTACTCAACACACCTACGGGAATGAGAGGGTTGCTGGCCACTGTCGCCACCTCCTTCTGTGCCAAGTTCAGGGTGCCCGCCATCTGTAGAGGAATGTGAGAAAAACACTCATGTTGCTCCACACACCTTCCAGTTCCCCCCCACACAAAGTCAAGCACATTTGATCCTGCTTAAAGCCTCTCAATCACGCAAGGATAGTAGTAGTTGAATCAGGCTCTCAACATTCTTTTTCTTTCCCTGTGAGAGACACACACACACACACACACACACACACATTCTCTAGCATGCACATCCACACACTCTCTTATCCTCCTCTGACATCCTGTCTACCTAAATCTTATCCATGCAGTCCTTTACACACAATCTCCCTCTCACGGCCTGACATGCAAAAACACGCTGCGTTACCATAGCGATGCTGCCCACATGACTGAAGATCTCGGCAACTGTTGGTAAGGCTCTGGCTGACTAGAAAGCATGGAGCCTCACTCCCACATCACAAACACCAACGTCTGCTCTGCACAGACCAACAGGCTGCCCACTGACTCTAGTCCACATTTTAAACACACTCAATGCCTGAGACTTAGTAAGCTTCATCGAACAGCCCCACTCATGTGTGATTCATAGGGTAGAGTAGGCCTAGCCGAACTCCCTACATTTACTCAGCCTAACCATGTGACTTGGGACTGTTGTAGGAGTTGAATGGCAGAGGCTATTGGAATTATCATTGGACAGATTCACTTGCAGAGAATTCCCTCCTCCACACACACACAAATCAATGGCAATGTTACCATAGCAGCAGAATACTCCCCATTCCAGAGAAAGCTTCCCTGATACTTTCCTAATGTGCCCCCCCTCACACACACAGCATACCCACTTAGGCCTACTCTAGAAGGAACAAAACGGTCACATTTAACCCATTTCCTCAGTGTGTTGACCCCTGTGTGTGACCCATGTCTGTCTGCTCCTCTCCCACATCCAACTAACTAGATGAGCCAACTCCCCTGAGACAGACAGACAGTGTGACAACACTTCACTCTGCTGTAATACTGGAAAGCCCAAGCACAATGATGCTCTCCGTGCTGACAACCTCACAGTATTGGGGTTAGCCTGTTTAGAAATGATATGCAACTGACTGACTAATCGAAATACCAAGGGTTGTTGTCAACAAAGAGGAGTATTCAAAACCAGCATAGGCATTTGAGAGAAGTTTCTCTCTGTGGGTTATGGGTTAGATAGCACTATTATAGGGATGGTTCTGTGTGGGAATCAAGTGATCTTTTAATTTTGTCAGGGTGGCAAAGGCTTTCAGAGCAGTGGTGTTGATGCATTGCCTTGTTACATTATATTAGGGCTGGTTGGTTAAGGTTTGGCGCTTTATGATGGAGCGTGAACAGTCAGCCATGTCCTCTTGCTCCAGCTCTCAACACATGCCACGCGATGTTACAGCAAAGCTCAGTAACATTGTGGATCAAATTCTCAATGTTTTTTTTTTCACCCTCAAACAATTAGGCTAAACAAAAGTCTGACTTTCTCTCCAGAGTGATCTTTAGAGTGAACTCAACTTACCCCAATCCCTCAAGGAAGCAGTCTAGAGTGGTCTGTCTCTTGTCTACACACAATAAGCCTCTTGTATGAAGGGACGGAAATTAAATGTGCTTCCTTCGTTTTCTTTTTCTGTGTGAAGTGTCGTGACCCCAGTGGGTTGGGAAATGCACCATGTTTATACGCGCTATGAGCCGGACAGTCATGTCTGGTAAGTCTCCTTCTACCCAAACTGTCTGTATGCACCTGTTTATGTCTGTGGATACTTATTGTGCCTGTCTATATGTGGTGTGGTGGCCTGTCTGCATGTGGTGTGGTGGCCTGTCTGCATGTGTGTAAATATACATACTTGTGCATGCAGTCAACAATTATTACAAGTATTGTCTATCTCTGTATGTGGTCAGCACGATAATGTCTGTGTGTGTGGCTATACCCAGTGTGGTGTGAGTTATCTGCTATTCTTGTAGATATTCTATCTATGTTATTTCTGTGGCCTGTACAGTATGCATGCTTGTTCAGTGTTTTTATTTTCCTGATTGTCTCCATGGTGGTCATGTCTCACTGTGGCACCGTTTTCCCACTGTTCTATGGCAATGTTCATTATGGCACATTGTTATGGACCAGAAACTACCCAGCGATGGATGACTTTGTACCAGTGTTGGGGAAGCTACTCTGAAAATATTGATTACTTCACACTGGAAGAGGTTAAACTACACTTAAAGTTACTTTTAAAAAGTAGTTCACTAGATCCAAACTACTTCGTGATAAATTATCATATCTAAATCTGAAATGTCATAGACTACAAATTGTGAAAACAGATCACTGAAGTAAGATGATAACAGAATGTGCATATTAAACACAAAAACTGTGTTTCAAGTGAGAATTAGGGAAAGGCTGATGCCAAAAAAGAAAGGAAATTCTTGCCTATTTCACCCATATTTTCTATTTGCAAGAAAAGTAGTGTGTAGTTCCAGTAGTTAGCTACACCGCTACCTGGCAAAAAAGTAATTAACTATGTACTAAAACACTACCAAGATTGGAATTTAGTTCAACTACCACCAAGCTACTTCAAAATGTAGTTGTTACTTGTTGAACTACATGTAGTTCACTACTCCCCAACACCGTTTGGTACTGGGTAGACACTAGTTAGAGCTGGTGCTGAACAACTGCAGCCGCTCTTCCCAAACAACAGATCAGAATTCCGGTTTTCCCGGTCCCTAAAGGAGAGGAGAGGCTGGAATACCAGGCATGCATTATATGGACTGTTGCTGTTGGATCAGGGCACAATCATTCAAACTATGTGGGTGAGATCAGATGAAAGCGGCCCTTCTGAAAGAACCAGGGCTTATCATTTAAAGATGTCTAAACTGAGAGGGGGTTTATATAGCATGCTGGATCCTCTAGACTCAACAGAACACGTTTTCTAGGTCACCCTACTCTACAGTTCTTCTCTGTACCACCAAGACTCCCTCTTGGCCTTGTCGAAGCATTAAACGTGACACCTTTTTATAGCCCCCTTCTGTGGTTTTACTCTGATGTGGAGGTTGTGTTGCGCTGTATAACTGCCAGTTGTCGCCGGATAGATTAGGAAGGAAACCAAGCGTTTATATAAAGGGAGGACCGACCGTCAGTCAGTCTCCTGCCCCTCTCACAGAACAGCTGAGAAGCCTGAGCTCTGGCAATGACCCAGGGTTCAGATCGCTGTGTGTGTTCACACCATGAAATATTCAACAGGCAAGTGTGTGTTTGTGCATGTGCGTTTGTCTGTGCACACACACGAAACCGCCAGGTATGCTAGGTCCGCTTACCTGTCCCTCTGAGCAGAATGCACTGAGAGGGGACAGTGGTGGCGGTGATGGCTGGGCGGAGGTAACCATGGGAGACTGATGGTGACAGACCGGAAAGGGTTGGGAAGGGTCCTCAATATGTTCAAGAAGAGGAGGATGCAGAAGGTAGAGAACAGGATAAGTGGAGAGAAAGAGGGCTGCTGTGGAATCAATGAGGGGGTGTGAGAGTGAATGACTTCAGGGGTTATTACCCTGCCTGAATGCCATTAGGTTTCTCATGTCTTTGGTTTTGGTCTGAAGAAGACCTCTCTGGGTTGTTGCTGTACAACAATACCTACTAGTCCCTTAAGATTAACGGCTGGTATTGGCCCTGAAGGCTGTGTGTGGATACTGCTCTCTGCTCTGACCGCCTGCCTGTGTCTCTAACCATCTAGCTAACTGTTGTTTGGGAGCGGTGGCTTCCATGGCAGATCCAGTTTCAGGTGCCTGTTGTTCCATACCGGCTGCCCGTGAAACTCTAGCCTGGTGTAGAGTGAAGAGGGGTGTGGAGTTACTGGAAGAGCTACGACATGGCGTGGTCCGTCTCTACTGGCGCTGACTGTCATGCCAATGCTTTATCTGGCCTGGCGCAACAATTGGATGCTAATGACCTTTAGCATCCATTCATGTACCAGTCGGGTGGTGATGAACTAAGTCTTTAGAATGTTGGAGATGGAATGAATGCATGTTGCAGACAGTCAGTGCAGACTGGATACAGGCCAGGGTTCTTGTCTATAAATACCTTATCCCCTGCTTTGTAATGATGGACTCTCAGCTCGTTGAGTTTCTCTGCAGTTGCCACATTTTCAGAGGGACAGAGTCAAGGCTAAGGGGCTGGGCTATACTGAGTGCTGAACAGGCACATCTTGGTGTGTGATATGCTCAATGCTGGAGTGATGCAGAGCTGATGTATTCTGATGAAGCTGTGCCCACTTTTAGCTCAGGTGCTTTCAGCCTCTAAGGGTCCCGCTGAGCGCATGCGCACACACACACACCAGGTGGAGGCAGGCTGTTCAGGCGTACTGTTAAGTCAATTTACCACAGCAAGCCTATGCCAGGTTCTCGCTCGCTCGCTCACTCACTCACACAGGAACGGTGAGGGTGGCAGTTGTCCCTAAGCGATTGACCAGGACCAGTTTGGGTTTGTGTGAGTCCTGCTGGGTGAGGTCAGGCCCAGGAGGAGTAGTACTGATCCTAGGCCAGCACTCTGAGGAGTAATGTTTTTCCCTGGAGCTGCAGTACTCTATCCAGCTCTGCTACTCTGCTTCTGCTGAGGAATAACCTGTGAACAGACCAGCTGTCCCCAATCACAAGTGATTCACAACTGGCAAGGTTTTAAAAGCCCAGGTGGTTTCATTGCTGTATCCTTTAAAGGTGTTGAAGGAGCCCATGACAAGCCGAGTAGTGGAGAATCTGATCTTGAACCTGGCTGGCACCCTTCCAAACCGTGTCCAGTCTGATGTTATTGTCACAGTTGCTGTTGGCATGTGAGAGTGAGACATTGTAAGATAGGCCAACTCTCTGAGAAATAGGTTTATTCTCTCACTTGTTCAGGTAGAGGCCTATAGCTTTTGGAAATGGGGTTTTGATATTTGATCCCATTTGAGTATTTTAAGGAGAATCCGGAATCGCTCATCCAAATACTTTTAGCCTAATTCCCATCCTCCCCCCCGTCTGGGCAAAACCATTTCTCACTGTCTATGTTGTGAATGGAGATGGTTGTCACCAATTCATCTCATGTGGGAGACAACCCTGCCTCTTAGTCTATTTGGGACATATTTCCCTGACAACAGACATGACCTCCGTTAGCCTCTACCAAAGCCTTATGGGTGTAATATACACTGGTCGTGTGAAATATGACTTGTTTACTGTGTGTATACACACAAACACACACACACACAAACATACACTGAGAGTGATTGATGTTAATTCCCTCTGGTGGTTGACAGCTCAGCTGTGCTGCTTCCTGTTTGTGTAGGAGTGGGCGTGTTGTGTGTGTTTGCTGTTTGTTTGCATTCATCAGCTGGATATTATGGAAAGGAGGAGGATATAGAGAGAGGGAAGAATGAAAAGAGCGAAAGAGGAGGGACAAATGTTTGTCTTTCATTCATTTGTGATGATGACGATTACATGGCTGTATGCTGGTTTAGAGATGAGTGAAGGTAGACCTAAAGTCAGAGGGAGAGGAGGGGTGTGTGTCTGGCTTGCCGTAGGTCCTGTGAAGGTGTGAACCGTGTGATGGTTAGAGCTGTGTTTCCACCTGCTGTTGAGTCGGTGTGCATTCAGCTCCGCTGTTTGACGGCTGCTGCATCATGCAAATCCTGACAGGAAGGACTGGATACGCGCACGGGGACAGGGATTTACTAACTAACAGCTTATGTAGGCTGCAGCATGTGAAGTAGAATCAAACAAGGCTACTACTACAGTTTGCTCTTTCCTCTGCAGTGGTGTTAGTTGTACTTTGTTTGTGTAAGTATTTTCTGCATGTTATGTACTGTAATCAGGAGTGACATCATGGGGTTGAGGAAGTTGCTTTTACAGAGTCAAATCACTGTCAAAAAGGAAGAGCCATGCTGTATAAAGATTTTGTAGATGGTGTAGCCTATAAACCATAATTTTGACTGTAGTAACAATCTAGATATCTCCTGGTTGACTCATGTCCTTCCTATTTCCCCTGGAGACACAGACACCATGTGTTCACCATGTAACTTGGCATGTTGACTGTCGTTTTTTTTACTAACTATCTTTTTCCTCTCTTTCCTCATCTCCCTCCCTAAGGCTTGGAGCACCGATAATCTGGACACTTCCGGGGAGCCCGCTACCCGCTCCGTGGGCACCACTGCCAACTTGAAGGGGAAGATGAGCAAGAGGTGAGACTGCCACTAAGACTGGCACACTGCCCTCCGGGTCTTAATCATTTCACTGATGGTGGATTGCAACAGTTAAAGATAATTTAAAGAGGGTGGAAAGAGTACACTGCTGACCTGTACAAGGGAAATGTGACTGCAGTGCAGTTACAGGACGCAGAAGTGGTGTGAACTGTGAACCATTATACACTGATGGAACTTTGGTGCCAGACAAGGGATGCCAAGCATAGACTGAGAGGAAGGGTGTATATTAGATATACTGTAGTATTTCAGGTCCGCTATACTTTGTAGCTGTGCCCTGCAATGAAGGCCCTTGTATGGACATCACTGTCAGGTCTTAAACAACTTCTGTGGAGACACGGGACGGAGAGAAGTTTAAACATGAACACACACCCACAGAACTTCAGAACTCCCCTTACGGCCCATGCGGAACTGTGAAACAGGAAGTTCCCCAATTTCATTTTCCCTTGGCTGCAGTGTGGTTATTATGTGGTAGTTGACAATGGGAGGTGTGATGGTTGTTGATGTGATGTGAAGCTCAGAGGAGTGAAGTGAGTGTCACTGATCAAGTCTGGCCCCGGTCACCGTATTGCCACTAAATAACCGCAGGCTGGCATAAACCTAACCACACTGCTAACCCTAATGCTTAAATTAAGACCAAAAAGCTTTCATTAATTTTTACAATATAGGCTATTTTAATTTTGCAGCTGGCCCATCTAGCAGAAATTGCTCAGTTCTGCCTGCAGGGCAAGATGAATGACAATAAACATCAAGCTGCAAAAATCACCATGCCACGGTCGGTGTGTGCAGTTGGGAGTAGGGACATGCAAAGCAGTCATGCGACCGTTCTGCTCAGGGTGGTTTCTGTTCAAACAAGAACCACGGTCACTGTCAAGCTCTCATAGCTACAACTTTGTTTGTCCTGCAGTTTCACTCCTAACCTACACTACCAGTCAAAAGTTTGGACACACCTACTCATTCAAGGGTTTTTCTTAGTTTTTACTAATTTTTTACATTATAGAATAATAGTGAAGACATCAAAACTATGAAATAACACATATGGAATCATGTAGAAACCAAAAAAGTGTTAAACAAATCAAAATATATTTTATATTTGAGGTTCTTCAAATAGCCACCCTTTGCCTTGATGACAGCTTTGCACACTCTTGGCATTCTCTCAACCAGCTTCATGAGGTAGTCACCTGGAATGCATTTCAATTAACAGGTGTGCCTTCTTAAAAGTTAATTTGTGGAATTTATTTACTTCTTAATGCATTTGAGCCAATCACTTGTGTTGTGACAAGGTGGGGGGGGGGGGTGTATACAGAATATGGCTCTATTTGGCAAAAGACCAAGTCCATATTATGGCAAGAACAGCTGAAATAAGCAAAGAGAAAAGACAGTCCGTCATTACTTTAAGACATGAAAGTCAGTCAATAAGGAACATTTCAAGAACTTTGAAAGTTTCTTCAAGTGCAGTCGCAAAAACCATCAAGTGCTATGATGAATCTGGCTCTCATGAGGACCACCACAGGAATGGAAGACCCAGAGTTACCTCTGCTGCAGAGGATAAATTCATTAGAGTTAACAGCCTCAGAAATTGCAGCCAAAATAAATGCTTCACAGAGTTCAAGTCACAGACACATCTCAACATCAACTGTTCAGAGGGGACTGTGTGAATCAGGCCTTCATGGTCGAATTGCTGCAAAGAAACCACTACTAAAGGACACCAATAATAAGAAGAGACCTGCTTGGGCCAAGAAACACGAGCAATGGACATTAGACCGGTGGACATTTGTCCTTTGGTCTGGAGTCCAAATTTGAGATTTTTGGTTCAAACCGCCTTGTCTTTGTGAGACGCGGTGTGGGTGAACGGATGATCCTGCATGTGTAGTTCCCACCGTAAAGCATGGAGGAGGAGGTGTAATGGTGTGGGGGTGCTTTGCTGGTGACACTGTCTGTGATTTATTTAGAATTCAAGGCACACTTAACCAGCATGGCTACCACAGCATTCTGCAGCGATACACCATCCCATCTGGTTTGGGCTTAGTGGGACTATCATTTGTTTTTCAACAGGACAATGACCCAACACACCTCCAGGCTGTGTAACGGCTATTTTACCAAGAAGGAGAGCGATTGAGTGCTGCATTAGATGACCTGGCCTCCACAATCGCCCGACCTCAACCCAATTGAGATGGTTTGGGATAAGTCGGACGGCAGAGGGAAGGAAAAGCAGCCAACAAGTGTTAAGCATATGTGGGAACTCCTTCAAGACTGTTGGAAAAGCATTCCAGGTGAAGCTGGTTGAGAGAATGCCAAGAGTGTGCAAAGCTGTCATCAAGGCAAAGGGTGGCTATTTGAAGAATCTCAAATATAAAATATATTTTGATTTGTTTAACACTTTTTTAATTAGTGTTATTTCATTGTTTTGATGTCTTCACTATTATTCTACAATGTAGAAAATAGTAAAAATAAAGAAAAACCCTTGAATGAGTAGGTGTGTCCAAACCTTTGACTGGTACTGTAAGTGTAGGCCTACCAATTCACCCAAACATACAGACTGTATACAGGGCTTCTACTACTTCACTAACATTAGAACAGTATTGGTCTGCTGCTGTTCAAGACAAATAGATTCTCTGTATTGTGACACACACTCTGTGACTGTATAATGCTGTTTTTTAATCTAATCTGAATGCTGTGTGTGTCTCTCTCAGGCTGTCTGTTGTGAAAGGCCACTTCCCTAAACTCGTTGACTGTGCCCACTTCCACTATGACAATGTGGAGTTTGGCTCCATCGAGGTAGGTTTCGTCACAAGACTGTGTGTGCGGGATAAAATGCCCAATTTAGAAATGTCAACTACAAAGATTTCCTGCTTGGCTGACTCTAAATGAAGTGTGTTTTAGCCATGTCTATTACTAACATCATAGGTCCTTATGGATGTTCGTGGCCTGCATTAGAACCCCAGCCTCATGCCTGTAATGTTACTGTGGTAATGATAACCCCAGCCTCATGCCTGTAATGTTACTGTGGTAATGATAACCCCAGCCTCATGCCTGTAATGTTACTGTGGTAATGATAACCCCAGCCTCATGCCTGTAATGTTACTGTGGTAATGATGACATGTGAACAGGACTGACAGACACTCCTAATGACCTCACAATACTGGTCTCACTGTGGGATTACTGTGGGTGTGTGTGTTACCGCATGTCTGTACTGTGTGTGTGTTCCTGTCAGAATGCTTCAGGGCTATGGGCTAGATGTGGAAGGGGGATGGTGTGGGCACAGCGGAGAGATGAGAGCAGCAACATCTCCAGGGCTGAGGCTGGCTCTCTTTCTTTGTGCCTGACCTGCACACTCACACACAATCACAACTGGACTCACACAAATACAAACAAGCTCACTCAGATTTTCAGTCCATGGGCATCGGAGTGGAAGAGCAGCAGCACTCTCTCCTTCCCTCTCTCCTTTTTTTCTGACATTCCCACTGAGCACGTTCACTCATACCTCTCCAGATACTCCTCATTTCTATTAATTGTGACATAGTTAGTTCATTCACACTCTTATGTTCACAAACTTGTCGTTTACTTATACAAGCACACACCGTATACAAATTTGTCTCCAGCCCAAAACACACACACACACTGTTAAACATATGCTACTTCAACTGAAATCATATAACCTCATCCTATAACAAGAATTGGGTAACATTAATGCCATTTTAAACGCATAGTCATGATGATGAACTCTATACACCTGATGTAGTGAGTGACATCATCACCTCCTTGTCCCAGCACAGCTGTTAGTGCTCTCTTTCTCTGTGCTGGAGTGTGTGTGTTGAGCAGAGGGAGCACTGCTTATTAGCGTCTGAAGCCCCTGAAGAAAAGAGATCTGAAAGAGACTTTTCTCATCTCACTGTCCTTGCTCTCTGAGTCAGAAACGAGCCACACACCAAAGCCTCTCTTTTCTTCTCTCTTTCTTGCATTTGCTTTCTCTGGCTCCTTTCTCCTTACCTCTACCTCTCTCTCTCTCAATTTCAATTTCAATTTAAGGGCCTACCTTCCTCCACTGAGTCTCTCTCCTCTTTATCCCTATCTCCCTCTCTGTATCTCCCTCTCCCTCTCTGCATCTATCTCTCTATCCCTCCGCTGTTCTCTCTGTATATCTCTGAGGTGTTAGTCATAGTGGATGTGATGTGAAGGTCCGTCAGACAAACGCGCCGAAGTCCACAACACTGCCTGTCTCATTTCAGATTAAAGTATTTTCTCTCTTAATCCCCTGGAGCCTCAACCCTCCCTTCTTCCTCCTCCTCCTTCCCAAAAAAAAGAGAAAATACCATAAAATGCATGACTGTTTTCCTTTTGTGCTTGTTTGTAAATCCAGGTCACCATAACCACATGGGTGTGCTATGGCTCCATCAGAGGATTTATATGAGCAGCACATGACTCTGATGTCACTAGTATGGCATGGTGTCCTTCTTTTCACAGCTTTCTCTGCATTGTTAAGTCCATTAAAGTTTAATACTGTTTCATGGCTGAAATGTTGTTGGCCATTTTGAAAGATCTCCTCTGAGTTAGTTGGCTGCTTTATTAGAAGATGCAGAATTTGGGCAACTAGGAGGGAGGTTGTCTAAAAGGTACCAGGCAAGGATGGAGATTTCCCAGGATATAATGTATCCTGATCTTGTGTGTAGGTATGGGAGGGTGCTTTGCAAATCAAATCAAATGTTATTTGTTACATGTGCCGTATACAACCGATGTAGACCTTACAGTGAAATGCTTACTTACAAGCCCTTAACCAACAATGCAGTTTTTAAGAAATAATACAAAAATAAACGAATAAAAAATTAACAAAAAAATATACAATATAAATTAATACGAAAAAAAGTAACAAATAATTAAAGAGCAGCAGTAAAAATAACAATAGCGAGGCAATATACAGGTGGTACCGAGTCAATGTGCGGGGGCACCGGTTAGTCGATGTAATTGGGGTAATATGTACATGTAGGTAGAGTTATTAAAGTGACTATGCATAGATAATAAACATAGAGTAGCAGCAGTGTAAAAGAGGGGTGGTTGGCAATGCAAATAATCTGGGTAGCCATTTGATTAGATGTTCAGGAGTCTTATGGCTTGGGGGTAGAAGCTGTTTAGAAGCCTCTTGGACCTAGACTTGGCGCTCCGGTACCGCTTGCCGTGCGGTAGCAGAGAGAACAGTCTATGACTAGGGTGGTTGGAGTCATTTTTTAGGGCCTTCCTCTGACACCGCCTGGTATAGAGGTCCTGGATGGCAGGAAGCTTGGCCCCAGTAATGTACTGGGCCGTACGCACTACCCTCTGTAGTGCCTTGCGGTCGGAGGCCGAGCAGTTGCCATACCAGGCAGTGATGCAACCAGTCAGGATGCTCTCGGGTGCAGCTGTAGAACCTTTTGAGGATCTGAGGACCCATGACAAATCTTTTCAGTCTCCTTAGGGGGAATAGGTTTTGATAGGTTTTGTCGTGCCCACTTCACGACTGTCTTGGTGTGCTTGGACCATGTTAGTTTGTTGGTGCTGTGGACGCCAAAGAACTTGAAGTTCTCAACCTGCTCCACTACAGCCCTGTCGATGAGAATGGGGGTGTGCTCGGTCCTCTTCTTTTTCCTGTAGTCCACAATCATCTCCTTTGTATTGATCACGTTGAGGGAGAGGTTGTTGTCCTGGCACCACACGGCCAGGTCTCTGACCTCCCTATAGGCTGTCTCGTCATTGTTGGTGATCAGGCCTACCACTGTTGTGTCATCGGCAAACTTAATGATGGTGTTGGAGTCGTGCCTGACAATGCACTCATGAGTGAACGCCAGGGTTGTGGGTTCGTTTCCCACGGGGGGGCAGTATGAAAAATTAAAATAAATAAATCATGTATGCACTCACTAACTGTAAGTCGCTCTGGATAAGAGCGTCTGCTAAATGACTTAAATGTAAATGTTACCTAACCTTACCACCTGGGGGCGGCCTGTCAGGTAGTCCAGGATCCAGTTGCAGAGGGAGGTGTTTAGTCCCAGGATCCTTAGCTTAGTGATGAGCTTAGAGGGCACTATGGTGTTGAATGCTGAGCTGTAGTCAATGAATAGCATTCTCACATCCTTTTGTCCAGGTGTGAAAGAGCAGTGTGGAGCGCAATAGAGATTGCATCATCTGTGGATCTGTTGGGGCGATATGCAAATTGGAGTAGGTCTAGGGTTTCTGGGATAATGGTGTTGATGTGAGCCATGACCAGCCTTTCAAAGCACTTCATGGCTACAGACGAGAGTGCTACGGGTCGGTAGTCATTTAGGCAGGTTACCTTAGTGTTCTTAGGCACAGGGACTATGGTGGTCTGCTTGAAACATGTTGGTATTACAGACTCAGACAGGGAGAGGTTGAACATGTCAGTGAAGACACTTGCCAGTTGGTCAGCGCATGCTCAGAGTACACGTCCTGGTAATCTGTTTGGCCCTGCGGCCTTGTGAATGTTGACCTGTTTAAAGGTCTTACTCACATCGGCTACAGAGAGCGTGATCACACAGTCGTCCGGACCAGCTGATGCTCTCATGCATGTTTCAGTGTTACTTGCCTCGAAGCGAGCATTGAAGTAATTTAGCTCGTCAGGTAGGCTCGTGTCACTGGGCAGTTCGCGCCTGTGCTTCCCTTTGTAGTCTGTAATAGTTTGCAAGCCCTGCCACATCCGATGAGCGTCGGAGCCGGTGTAGTACGTGTCGATCTTAGTCCTGTATTGACGCTTTGATTGTTTGATGGTTCGTCGTAGGGCATAGCAGGATTTCTTATAAGCTTCCGGTTTAGAGTCCCGCTCCTTGAAAGCGGCAGCTCTACCCTTTAACTCAGTGCGGATGTTGCCTGTAATCCATGGCTTCTGGTTGGGGTATGTACGTACAGTCACTGTGGGGACGACGTCATCGATGCACTTATTGATGAAGCCAGTGACTGATGTGGTGTACTCCTCAATGCCATTGGAAGAATCCCGGAACATATTCCAGTCAGTGCTAGCAAAATAGTCCAATAGCTTAGCTTCATCTGACCACTTTTTATTGACCGAGTCACTGGTGCTTCCTGCTTTAGTTTTTGCTTTTAAGCAGGAATCATGAGGATAGAATTATGGTCAGATTTTCCAAATGGAGGGCGAGGGAATGCTTTGTACGCGTCTCTGTGGGTGGAGTAAAGGTGGTCTAGAGTTTTTTTTCCCCTCTGGTTGCACATTTAACATGCTGGTAGAAATGAGGTAAAACGGATTAAAGTTTCCCTACATTAAAGTCCCCGGCCACTAGGAGCGCCGCCTCTGGTTGAGCGTTTCCTGTTTGCTTATGGCCGTATATAGTACATTGAGTGCGGTCTTAGTGCCAGCATCGGTTTGTGGTGGTAAATAGACAGCTACGAAAAATACAGTAGATACTTTTCACTTATAATTCACTTTGGTAGATAGTGTGGTCTACAGCTTATCATTAGATACTCTACCTCAGGCGAGCAAAACCTTGAGACTTCCTTACATATCGTTCACCAGCTGTTGTTTACAAATATACATAGACTGCCAAATCCCTCTCATCTGTCTCATAAAATAAAAATTATTTGTCCATTTCAAGGTGAGTAATCGCTGTTCTGAATTCCAGAAGCTATTTTCAGTCATGAGACAGTAGCAGCAACATTATGTACAAAATAAGTTAAAAACAATGCGAAAAAACACACAAAATAACACGGTTGGTTAAGAGTCCATAACATGGCAGCCATCCCCTCCGGCGCCATTTCCTTGCAGTATCCTTGTATGTGTGTTTGCTTATTCTGTGTACAGTAGGCTATATGCATTGTATAGTTAAAATACACCTGTTCCACCTGTTTTTGTGACCCATGCTTGAGTATGTGTGTGTTTCTGTTCCTCAGTTACAGTTTGCGAACGAGCAGAGCGATGCCAGCTGGAACTCGGGCTCTGCCAAAGACCTGGTTTTCCTGGTGCAGGTGTCCTGCCAGGTGAGTGGGCACGGCCACATACCCTCGCCAAACATACACACTCGCACATCTCCTAGCCAGGGCTATATTTAACCCAGACACATTCACACCAACACATACACAGGGTGGGAATACATTTCCCTTCCTCTCTCCTCCTGTCTGACTTATTTCCCACCTTCCTTGCTCTCCTCCTCACATGAATCTTTCTGTCCCCTCTTCTTTCCCACTCGCTGTCTCACGCTCTGTCTCTCTATCTCTCTCTCTGTCTATGATGTAGACTAAGACGTGGATGGTGCGGCGCTCCTATGAGGAGTTCCGTACTCTGGACGCTCACCTCCACCAGTGTATCTACGACCGGCGCTACTCCCAGCTGCTGCCCCTGCCACCCCTCAGCGAGCTCGGGGACAGGGTAGAGGTGAGTTGGGACTGTGGGAGAGCTCATTTGGTGGGGGGGTTATGTAGCATTCTGGCTGAATTGGCAGTAGAATGTTTTGCTGTACTGTATGGAGGTCGATGATACTGTGCGGAAGGTACCGATGTAGGTTAGCATGAAGACCTCTGGGAATGACATGAAATTACCTTCATCAATAATATGCCATTTAGCAGACGCTTTTATCCAAAGCGACTTACAGTCATGTGTGCATTCATTTTTACGTATGGGTGGTCCCGGGGATCGAACCCACTACCCTGGCTTCATAAGTGCCATGCTCTACTAAATAAGCTACAGAGGACCACGGTTATGGAGTCATCGTTGTCTGTGACCGGTCTGTCTCTGTACCCATTTGTTCTCTGATTCTAGCAGGTGTTCATATTTGGGTCACCTGTCTTCATCTACAGTTTCTGGGAGTAGATGTACGTAAATGTCTGGAAGCTCCTACAGTAGCTGTGTGTTAAGAGTCCTGTGTCAGTTGGTTTTGTTGTTGTTCGTCAGATCTTCACCCCGCTGCTGTCGGAGTACCTGAGCCGCCTCTCCATGATCGTGGACAACAAGCTCAACTGTGGGCCTGTGCTCACCTGGATGGAGGTGAGACTATTAAAGTATCTTTAGAAAACATAAGAGAGTGGACTGTGTGGTCCAGTGGTTACAGCCGCTGACCCTGGCTCACATATATGCCAGAGTCAGCATGGGTTCGAATCTGGCCCACTGCCTTTTGATTCACCCTCCCCCATCGTTCACACATCTCTTCAATAAAGCAACAACAACAAAAAGGAGTGGGGCTGCCCCTCCCCCCAAAGACGTTGAAAGAAAGAGTGTGAAGGTGATAATAAGCTGTAGGGTGAAACATAAGAAGTTGGTCAGAGAAAGAAGACAATTGTTGGGGAAGAGCAAAGTAGAATGAGAAAGACCGACCTAGAGAGACAGGCTTTGTCTTACTACCTGTGGATTAGCCCTAATACTATAATTAAGGGATATTGAGAACGTGGTGTAATTATTTGCCCATCTACAGTTGAAGTCGGAAGTTTACATACACTTAGGTTGGAGTCATTAAAACTCATTTTTCAACCACTCCACACATTTCTTGTTAACAAACTATAGTTTTGGCAAGTTGATTAGGACATCTACTTTGTGCATGACACAAGTAATTTTTCCAGCAATTGTTTACAGACAGATTATTTCACTTATAATTCACTATCACAATTCCAGTGGGTCAGATGTTTATATACACTAAGCTGACTGTGCTTTTAAACAGCTTGGAAAATTCCAGAAAAGTATGTCATGGCTTTAGAAGCTTCTGATAGGCTAATTGACATAATTTGAGTCAATTGGAGGTGTGCCTGTGGATGTATTTCAAGGCCTACCTTATAATAATAATAATATGCCATTTAGCAGACGCTTTTATCCAAAGCGACTTACAGTCATGCGTGCATAAATTTTTGTGTATGGGTGGTCCCGGGGATCGAACCCACTACCTTGGCGTTACAAGCGCCGTGCTCTACCAGCTGAGCTACAGAGGACCACATTCAAACTCAGTGCCTCTTTGCTTGAATTCAGGGGAAAATCAAAAGAAATCAGCCAAGATTTTTCATCTGTACAAACAATAGTACGCAAGTATAAACACCATGGGACCACGCAGCCGTCATACCGCTCAGGAAGGAGACGCATTCTGTCTCCTAGAGATGAACGTACCTTTGTGCGAAAAGTGCAAATCAATCCCAGAACAACAGCAAAGGACCTTGTGAAGATGCTGTAGTGAACAGGTACAAAAAGCATCTATATCCACAGTAAACAAGTCCTATATCGACATAACCTGAAAGGCTGCTCAGCAAGGAAGAAGCCACTGCTCCAAAACCGCCATAAAAAAGCCACACTACGGTTTGCAACTGCACATGGGGACAAAGATCTTACTTTTTGGAGAAATGTAATCTGGTCTGATGAAACAAAAATAGAACTGTTCAGCCATAATGACCATCATTATGTTTGGAGGAAAAAGGGGGTTTCTTGCAAGCCGAAGAACACCATCCCAACCGTGAAGCACGGGGGTGGCAGTATCATGCTGTGGGGGTGCTTTGCTGCAGGAGGGACTGGTGCACTTCACAAAATAGATGGCATCATGAGGAAGGAAAATTAAGTGGATATATTGAAGCAACATCTCAAGACATCAGTCAGGAAGTTAGAGCTTGGTCGCAAATGGGTCTTCCAAATGGACAATGACCCCAAGCATACTTCCAAAGTTGTGGCAAAATGGCTTAAGGACTACAAAGTCAAGGTATTGGAGTGGCTATCACAAAGCCCTGACCTCAATCCTATAGAAAATGTGTGGGCAGAACTGAAAAGGCGTGTGCGAGCAAGGAGGCCTACAAACCTGACTCAGTTACACCAGCTCTGTCAAGAGGAATGGGCCACAATTCACCCAACTTATTGTGGGAAGCTTGTGGAAGGCTAACCGAAAGTTAAACAATTTTAAAGGCAATGCTACCAAATACTAATTGAGTGTATGTAAACTTCTGACCCACTGGGAATGTGATGAAATAAATAAAATCTGAAATAAATCATTCTCTCTACTATTATTCTGACATTTCACATTCTTAAAATAAAGTGGTGATCCTAACTGACCTAAGACAGGGAATTTTTACTAGGATTACATTTCAGGAATTGTGAAAAACTGAGTTTAAATGTATTTGGCTAAGGTGTATGTAAACTTCCGACTTCAACTGTATTCCTTAAACAACAGAGGTTTGGCGGCAGGTAGCTTAGTGGTTTAAGAGCGTTGTGCCAGTAACCAGAAGGTCGCTGGTTCTAATCCCCGAGCTGACTAGGTGAAAAATCTGTCTGTGCCCTTGAGCAAGGCACTTAACCCTAATTGCTCCTGTAAGTCGCTCTGGATAAGCGTGTCTGCTAAATGACTAAAAATTTAAATGTTATTGTTTGCTGTTCCTCCCAGATTGACAACCGTGGGAATCGGTTCCTCCTGAAAGAGGAAGCTTCGCTCAACGTTCCAGCCATCGCCGCTGCTCATGTCATCAAGCGCTACACGGCGCAGGCCAATGATGAGATCTCCATCGAGGTATGGAGCTGCTGCAGGGATACACAGAACCGAATGAGATTACATTAGTGGCCGTCATAGTTTCCAGATTTCAATGTCACCTCTCTGTCCTGGCCTTAGTCTCTCTGTTTCGCTGTCACCTTCCTTTTTCTTCTAGTTTTCCTCCTCTTCCTCCTCCTGTTCTCAGTCTATTCCTGTCCTCTCCTCCTCCTACTGCTCTACATACTGCTTCTCTCTCTGTTTCTGGGCCAGAGCACCCCGGAATGGGATGACCCAAACACTGAGGCACATTTTAGCTCTTCTGTCTGTCTCTCTCGCTCTTTCTGTCTGTCTCTCTCGCTCTGTCTGTCTGTCTCGCTCTTTCTGTCTGTCTGTCTCTCTCGCTCTGTCTGTGTGTCTCTCGCTCTGTCTGTCTCTCTCGCTCTGTCTGTCTCTCTCTCGCTCTGTCTCTCACGCTCTTTGTCTCTCTCGCTCTTTCTGTCTGTCTCTCTCGCTCTTTCTGTCTCTCTCTCGCTCTGTCTGTGTGTCTCTCGCTCTGTCTGTCTCTCTCTCGCTCTGTCTGTCTCTCTCTCGCTCTGTCTGTCTCTCTCTCGCTCTGTCTGTCTCTCTCTCGCTCTGTCTGTCTCTCTCGCTCTGTCTGTCTCTCTCTCGCTCTGTCTGTCTCTCTCTCGCTCTCTCTGTCTCTCTCTCGCTCTCTCTGTCTCTCTCTGTCTCTCTCGGTCTGTCTCTCGCTCTGTCTGTGTGTCTCTCTCGCTCTGTCTCTCTCGCTCTGTCTCTCTCGCTCTGTCTCTCTCGCTCTGTCTCTCTCGCTCTGTCTCTCTCGCTCTGTCTCTCTCGCTCTGTCTCTCTCGCTCTGTCTGTCTCTCTCGCTCTGTCTGTCTCTCTCGCTCTGTCTCGCTCTTTCTGTCTGTCTCGCTCTTTCTGTCTGTCTCGCTCTTTCTGTCTGTCTCGCTCTTTCTGTCTGTCTCGCTCTTTCTGTCTGTCTCGCTCTTTCTGTCTGTCTCGCTCTTTCTGTCTCTCTCGCTCTTTCTGTCTCTGTCTCTCTCTCGCTCTCTGTGTCTCTCTCGCTCTTTCTGTCTCTGTCTCTCTCTCGCTCTCTGTGTCTCTCTCGCTCTGTCTGTCTCTCTCGCTCTGTCTGTCTCTCTCGCTCTGTCTGTCTCTCTCGCTCTCTGTCTCTCTCGCTCTGTCTCTCTCGCTCTGTCTCTCTCGCTCTGTCTGTCTCGCTCTTTCTGTCTGTCTCTCTCTCGCTCTCTGTCTCTCTCTCGCTCTCTGTGTCTCTCTCGCTCTCTCTGTCTCTCGCTCTTTCTGTCTCTGTCTCTCTCGCTCTTTCTGTCTCTGTTACGAACCCCGTGGCTCTAAACGTCTAGGGTGGATGGACATGAGACCCGTAACATAAATTATGCAAATTATAAGTGTGACCTGGAACAGTGAGAACCAAAAATGACACAACAACCATGAACTACCGTCAAACTTAAATGGTTTATTGCTAAACACACGGTAAAGGTTTGGGAAAAAGGGCTGAGCAGGACCCAAGAAATGAAACAAAAGTGTAAAACCCCCTAAACTGATCTAGCCTGCCTGAAGAACCGCTAGGCTACTGCTAGTCATACAAAAGTACAGTGGGTGGTCCGCTCAGGTCTAACTAGTGTTTTTAGACAGAATTCGTCCTACGGGTAATGTACGCCCAAGGGCAACTAGCTTAAACTCCCCTTTTCCCAGAAACACACAAAGCTACCAAACAGGGTAATCAGCAATTAAATAAGTACACAGGATACAACAGTATCCACACTCAGGTAAAGAAATATATTCTAATAACGTTACCAATAGGGTAACCAACAACTTAGTGCGTACACAACACACAGGACACCACCGTGTCCATACTCACATATGGCAAAAAGTCTCTCTCTCTTGCAACAAACACAAGTCTGGTTTTTATAAAATGGGATGTGTGATTGAACAAACGAGTAACAGGTGGTGCAATTCACAGGAATGTTCACTGATTGGTCCAATCAGCAGACACCTCAACGACCACCAATCAGGAACATACAGGACACCTGTGATTAGGGCAGAAGGAGAGAAACACACAAAAACACAGGATACCTGTATCCGTAACAGTCTCTCTCGCTCTTTCTGTCTCTCTCGCTCTTTCTGTCTCTCTCGCTCTTTCTGTCTCTGTCTCTCTCGCTCTGTCTGTCTGTCTCTCTCTCGCTCTGTCTGTCTCTCTCTCGCTCTTTCTGTCTCTCTCGCTCTTTCTGTCTCTCTCGCTCTGTCTGTCTCTCTCTCGCTCTCTGTCTGTCTGTCTGTCTGTCTCTCTCGCTCTGTCTGTCTCTCTCGCTCTGTCTCTCTCGCTCTTTCTGTCTCTCTCGCTCTTTCTGTCTCTCTGTCTCTCTCGCTCTTTCTGTCTCTCTCGCTCTTTCTGTCTCTGTCTCTCTCGCTCTCTCTGTCTCTCTCGCTCTTTTGCTCTCGCTCTTTCACTCTGTCTGTCTGTCTGTCTGTCTCTCGCTCTGTCTGTCTGTCTCTCTGTCTGTCTCTCTGTCTGTCTCTCTGTCTGTCTCTCGCTCTGTCTGTCTCTCGCTCTTTCTGTCTCTGTCTCTCTCGCTCTTTCTGTCTCTGTCTCTCGCTCGCTCGCTCGCTCTGTCTGTATGTCTCTCTCGCTCTGTCTGCTCTCTCTCGCTCTGTCTGTCTCTCTCGCTCTGTCTGTCTCTCGCTCTGTCTGTCTGTCTCGCTCGCTCTGGCTCGCTCGCTCGCTCTGTCTCTCTCTCTCTCTCGCTCTGTCTGTCTGTCTGTCTGTCTGTCTGTCTCTCTCTCGCTCTGTCTGTCTCTCTCTCGCTCTGTCTCTCTCTCGCTCGCTCTGTCTCTCTCGCTCGCTCTGTCTCTCTCGCTCGCTCTGTCTCTCTCGCTCGCTCTGTCTCTCTCTCTCGCTCTGTCTCTCTCTCTCGCTCTGTCTCTCTCTCTCGCTCTGTCTCTCTCTCTCGCTCTGTCTCTCTCTCTCTCTCTCGCTGTCTGTCTCTCTCTCGCTCTGTCTCTCTCTCGCTCTGTCTGTCTCTCGCTCTGTCTGTCTGTCTGTCTGTCTGTCTCTCTCGCTCTGTCTCTCTCTCGCTCGCTCTGGCTCGCTCGCTCGCTCTGGCTCGCTCGCTCGCTCTGTCTCGCTCGCTCGCTCTGGCTCGCTCGCTCGCTCTCTCGGTCTGTCTGTCTCTCTCTCTCGCTCTTTGTCTGTCTGTCTGTCTCTCTCTCGCTCTCTCTGTTTCTCTCTCTCTCTCTCTCTCTCGCTCTGTCTGTCTGTCTCTCTCTCGCTCTGTCTGTCTCTCTCTCTCGCTCTTTGTCTGTCTGTCTCTCGCTCTTTGTCTGTCTGTCTCTCTCTCTGTCTCTCTCGCTCTGTCTGTCTGTCTGTCTCTCTCGCTCTTTCTGTCTCTCTCGCTCTTTCTGTCTCTCTCGCTCTTTCTGTCTCTCTGTCTCTCTCCCCCTTTCTGTCTCTCTGTCTCTTTCGCTCTTTCTGTCTCTCTGTCTCTCTCGCTCTTTCTGTCTCTCTGTCTCTCTCGCTCTTTCTGTCTCTCTGTCTCTCTCGCTCTTTCTGTCTCTCTCGCTCTTTCTGTCTCTCTCGCTCTTTCTGTCTCTCTCGCTCTTTCTGTCTCTCTCGCTCTTTCGCTCTTTCGCTCTGTCTCTCTCGCTCTTTCGCTCTGTCTGTCTGTCTGTCTCTCTCGCTCTTTCGCTCTGTCTCTCTCGCTCTTTCGCTCTGTCTGTCTGTCTGTCTGTCTTTCTGTCTCTCACTCTTTCGCTCTGTCTCTCTCGCTCTTTCTGTCTCTCTCGCTCGCTCTGTCTGTCTGTCTGTCTCTCTCTCTCTCGCTCTGTCTGTCTGTCTCTCTCTCGCTCTGTCTGTCTGTCTCTCGCTCTGTCTGTCTGTCTCTCGCTCTGTCTGTCTGTCTCTCGCTCTGTCTGTCTGTCTCTCGCTCTTTCTGTCTCTGTCTCTCGCTCGCTCGCTCTGTCTGTCTCTCTCTCGCTCTGTCTGTCTGTCTGTCTCTCGCTCTGTCTGTCTGTCTCGCTCGCTCTGGCTCGCTCGCTCGCTCTGGCTCGCTCGCTCGCTCGCTCTGTCTCGCTCGCTCTGTCTGTCTCTCTCGCTCTGTCTGTCTGTCTCTCTCTCGCTCTGTCTCTCTCTCGCTCTGTCTCTCTCTCTCGCTCTGTCTCTCTCTCTCGCTCTGTCTCTCTCTCTCTCTCTGTCTCTCTCTCGCTCTGTCTCTGTCTGTCTTTCTCTCTCTCGCTCTCTCGCTCTGTCTGTCTCTCTCGCTCTGTCTGTCTCTCTCGCTCTGTCTGTCTCTTTCTCTCGCTCTTTGTCTGTCTGTCTCTCTCTCTCGCTCTCTCTGTCTCTCTCTCTCGCTCTCTCTCTCTCGCTCTCTCTCTCTCGCTCTGTCTGTCTGTCTCTCTCTCGCTCTTTGTCTGTCTCTCTCTCGCTCTTTGTCTGTCTCTCTCTCGCTCTGTCTGTCTGTCTCTCTCTCTCTCGCTCTGTCTGTCTGTCTCTCTCTCGCTCTGTCTCTCTCGCTCTTTGTCTGTCTCTCTGTCTGTCTGTCTCTCTCGCTCTGTCTGTCTCTCTCTCGCTCTGTCTGTCTGTCTGTCTCTCTCTCGCTCTGTCTGTCTGTCTCTCTCTCTCGCTCTTTGTCTGTCTGTCTCTCTCTCTGTCTCGCTCGCTCTGTCTCTCTCGCTCTTTCTGTCTCGCTCTTTCTGTCTCTCTCGCTCTTTCTGTCTCTCTCGCTCTTTCTGTCTCTCTGTCTCTCTCGCTCTTTCTGTCTCTCTGTCTCTCTCGCTCTTTCTGTCTCTCTGTCTCTCTCGCTCTTTCTGTCTCTCTGTCTCTCTTGCTCTCTCTGTCTCTCTCTCGCTCTTTCTGTCTCTCTGTCTCTCTCGCTCTTTCGCTCTGTCTCTCTCGCTCTTTCGCTCTGTCTCTCTCGCTCTTTCGCTCTGTCTGTCTGTCTCTCTCTCGCTCTGTCTCTCTCGCTCTTTCGCTCTGTCTGTCTGTCTCTCTCTCGCTCTGTCTGTCTGTCTCGCTCCGTCTGTCTGTCTCTCTCGCTCGCTCGCTCGCTCTGTCTCTCTCGCTCGCTCTGTCTGTCGCTCGCTCTGGCTCGCTCGCTCGCTCTGTCTGTCTCTCTCTCGCTCTGTCTCTCTCTCGCTCTGTCTCTCTCTCTCGCTCTGTCTCTCTCTCTCGCTCTGTCTCTCTCTCTCGCTCTGTCTCTCTCTCTCGCTCTGTCTCTCTCTCTCGCTCTGTCTCTCTGTCTGTCTGTCTCTCTCGCTCTGTCTCTCTCGCTCGCTCTGTCTCTCTCGCTCGCTCTCTCGGTCTCTCTCTCTCTGTCTCTCTCTCGCTCTTTCTGTATGTCTGTCTCTCTCTCTCTCGCTCTGTCTCTCTCTCGCTCTCTCTGTCTCTCTCTCTCGCTCTGTCTCTCTCGCTCTTTCTGTCTGTCTCTCTCTCGCTCTGTCTGTCTGTCTGTCTGTCTCTCTCGCTCTGTCTGTCTGTCTCGCTCGCTCGCTCTGTCTCTCTCGCTCGCTCTGTCTCTCTCGCTCGCTCTCTCGGTCTGTCTGTCTGTCTCTCTCTCGCTCTGTCTGTCTCTCTCTCGCTCTGTCTGTCTGTCTCTCTCTCGCTCTGTCTGTCTCTCTCTCGCTCTGTCTGTCTGTCTCTCTCTCGGTCTGTCTGTCTCTCTCTCTCTCTCGCTCTGTCTGTCTGTCTGTCTCTCTGTCTGTTCTCTCTCTCTCTCTCGCTCTGTCTCTCTCTCTCGCTCTGTCTCTCTCTCTCTCGCTCTGTCTCTCTCTCTCGCTCTGTTCTCTCTCTCGCTCTGTCTCTCTCTCTCGCTCTGTCTCTGTCTCTCTCTCTCGCTCTGTCTCTGTCTCTCTCTCTCGCTCTCTGTCTGTCTGTCTCTCTCTCGCTCTGTCTGTCTGTCTCTCTCGCTCTCTGTCTGTCTCTCTCTCGCTCTCTGTCTGTCTCTCTCTCGCTCTTTGTCTGTCTCTCTCTCGCTCTTTGTCTGTCTCTCTCTCGCTCTTTCTGTGTCTGTCTCTCTCTCTCTCGCTCTTTCTGTGTCTGTCTCTCTCTCTCTCGCTCTTTCTGTGTCTGTCTCTCTCTCTCGCTCTTTTGTGTCTCTCTCTCGCTCTTTCTGTGTCTCTCTCTCGCTCTTTCTGTGCTCTCTTCTCTCGCTCTTTCGTGTCTCCTCTCTCGTTCGCTCTTCTGTGTCTGTCTCTCCTCTCTCGTCTTCTGTGTCTGTCTCCTCTTCTGTCTGTCTCGTCTCGCTTTTCTGTCTTTCTGTCTCCTCGCTCTTCTTTCTCTCTCTCGCTCGCTCTGTCTCTTTCGTCTTTCTGTGTCTCTCTCGCTCTTCTGTCTTGTTCTCTGTCTTCACTCGCTCTTTCTGTCTCTCTCTCGTCGTCTTTCTGTCTCTCTCTCTCGCTCGTTCTGTCTGTCCTCGCTCGCTCTGTCTGTCTGTCTCTCGCTCTCGCTTCTGTCTCGCTCGCTCTTCTTCTGTCTGTCTCGCTCGCTCTGTCTGTCTGTCTCGCTCGCTCTGTCTGTCTGTGTGTCTGTCTGTCTCTCTCTCTCTGTGTGTGGGTCTCAGCTCCTCTCTGTCCTGTCCTCCAGTGCAACGGTTTCTCATCTGTTCGACTTATCTGTTATCTGAAATAAGTTTATTGAGTGGAGTTCAGCTAAATCAGGCATGACCACAGTATGCCCTGATCCAGCTTGTTGTGTCTGGATAATGTTTAATTCTGGGGCCGGTGCTGTATTTTGACTGCCGAGGCTGTATTATGTGTGTTGATGTACTTTTTGCTCAGATGGAGGGAGGGGGGATGATGTGTGTGATGTTAATCTGGCTCATTTGCCTATAGACTTTGTCTGAAGTCAGAAGTTGTTTAATGTCTTTCTCTGATGTGTGTGTTTACCAAATGTTTGTGTATGTGTCTCTCCAGGTGGGAGATATCCTGTCTGTAATTGACATGCCACCCAAAGAGGACTCCAGCTGGTGGAGGGGGAAGCATGGCTTCCAGGTACACAACACAATCACTGGAGACTGGCTGTCTCCCTCATACACTCCCCTGTCTCCCCCATACACACCCCAGTCTCCCTCATACACTCCCCTGTCTCCCCCATACACACCCCAGTCTCCCTCATACACTCCCCTGTCTCCCCCATACACACCCCAGTCTCCCTCATACACTCCCCTGTCTCCCTCATACACTCCCCTGTCTCCCCCATACACACCCCAGTCTCCCTCATACACTCCCCTGTCTCCCCCATACACACCCCAGTCTCCCTCATACACTCCCCTGTCTCCCCCATACACTCCCCTGTCTCCCTCATACACTCCCCTGTCTCCCTCACACACTTTAAAGAGCAACAGTTCTCCAGATGATGGCTACATTCACTCTCACGTCTCCATTTTTCTCTACTTCCTTTTCCCTTCTTGTTTGTTTCCTCTATTTCTTTATATTTGTTCTCTTTCTTTCACCGTTCTCTATTTTGACTGAGGTTTCTTTTCTTTTAACTCATTCGCTATTGTTTTTTAACCTATGTCATATTCTAACAAATCATACATCTAATGTATTTAAGACAAGTGTAGGTGTGTGTGTGTGTACACGTGTGTCCATGCTTGTCATCCACAGTTACTCTGACTGTCTTTCCCCACTCTAGGTGGGCTTCTTCCCCAGTGAGTGTGTGGAGCTCATCAACGAGAAGCCTCAGTCCACCGCTAAAACAGGTAGCTTACACACACACACACACACACTTTATGACACCACCATACTGAATCCCACTTACTGTACATTACCACATACACCTGCACTGTCACCAGATCAATGTTAGATATATTGAGTGACATTTGTTTGTGTTTCCAGATGGAGATCCAGCCAACTCCAACGCCAGCACACCAGGACCTCCCTCTCCTACGTCAGGTAAACAGACGCAATCAATCACTAATACTGTCGCCACAGAGCGTGTCGAAAGGTTTTGTAGGGGCTGGCTTGAAATGAGGTTGACAACATGCAGTACTAGCTGTCATGGTTACTATGTTTTCTTTCTGGTTTTGCAGCATATATTGCTTATTATATTTAATTGAAACGTATATTACAGCCACCTTTCCTCCCGTTCACTTGTATCTTCCTCTTGTAAGTCTTCTAAGTAAACATTATAAAATTATATCTCTCTAGAGGATTGTTTATTATAGGATACATGACCTCGTCTTGTTATCACCAGAAACACACAGCGAATCACGTGACATTACATAGTTTCACAATTACTCAGCCCATAGGTTATTTTGCTTGCCTAATGTGGTCACCACAACATCTTTGCTATCTTCATATTTGTATCTCTGTTTTGGGAGTGCAAAGTACAGAACAGCAATGTATTTAGCTAGTGTTCCAACCGCCTTCCTGTTGTATCTATTGCTTTTCTCTTTCTCTCTCTCAGTTCCTCAGCCTTGGTACCTAAGACTTGCTGGTAACAACAACTGAAATGGAATTACTCTCATTCATCTATTTGTCATCTAATCAGAGTTCCCCGTCCACCGTCCTTATCTTTCCTAACGCCTCATCTCTCCCCTTAATGCAGGGCCTGTATAACCCAAGCAGGACACGTAAAATAGCAATTTATACAACTAGCCAAGCCTATGGCTGTTCACATGCACCATGGCAGGACTGGTGAGGATGTTTTTAGAGAAGATTTAGTGTGCATCCATAAATCATAGGAACACAATGGAGCTTGCTGTATAAGTCGTTGTTTTAGAGGAAGACGATACAGGTTTATTATGACCAATGACTATCATCACTCTCTGGCGCTTTTGTGTATTTCCTTGCTCTTAATCCTAATCTTCACGATGCGTCCAAGTAATCTGCAGCTGCTTATTGTTCTAATGATGTTGGTGGTCGTGGCTCATTGGTCCAGAACACCACACAGCCTCCTACTAGTGTCTATGCTCCAGCTCCCACTAAACTCTCCTATTTTCTGATGTCTTTTCACCCGTTTATATTTGATGACGATGATGACATTTATGTAAAACAGCTGAAATGTGCATGCACACACACACACACATTTGCACGCACACACACACACACACACACAGACACACACAGACACACCCCTCACAAAGATAAACCCCTCACCCACCACAATACATCTCTCTTTCCCACCGTAGTGTCATTACTCAGCAGCTCTCTGTCGCCCCCCTCTGACAGTTTCTAAGAAGCACGGCAAGCTGATAGGGTTCCTGCGCACCTTTATGAAGTCCAGGCCCACCAAGCAGAAGCTCAAACAGAGAGGCATTCTTAAGGAGAGGGTGTTCGGCTGCGACCTGGGGGAGCACCTCCTCAACTCAGGACTGGACGGTACATAAAACGCACACTTATCCTCACGTAACCTTTTGGGGTTGTAAAGTCTATCTTCTTTGGGCTTGTGATTTTTATAGTAACGTAAGAGTGAGTTGCTGGCTGCAGAGAGCGAGAGGTTTTGGCGTGTCATGTGAACTAGGAACAATATTAAAGTCAATCATGCCATTTTAGGATCACATTAGTGCTACGGAGTTGATGAAATGGGCCCATTGCCCTAGTTAGAGTTCTAGAGTTGTAATTGTAGAGTCTCAGGGAGTCGTCTCTGTGCGTCCTTGAGAGCCCTGGTCTGGTTCAGTGTACTACTGTAACGTGTCACATGGATCTTTTGTGTGCTTCTCCAGTTCCGCAGGTTCTGAAGAGCTGCTCAGAGTTCATAGAGAAACATGGTGTGGTGGACGGCATCTACAGGCACTCTGGAGTCTCCTCCAACATTCAGAAACTCCGGTACGACTCCTCATGCTAACCCTAACCCTGCATATCAGCCCTGAACCTGTAAAGACTTAGAAGTACTACATAGAACATTTACTGCATGCATAAAATACATAGAGGCAAATATGCAATACTTTTTGGCATTCAACCCTATTTGACACTCTCTCCACCAGACATGAGTTTGACAGTGAGAACGTTCCAGAACTGACCAAGGATATGTATATGCAGGACATCCACTGTGTGGGGTCCCTGTGTAAGCTCTACTTTAGAGAGCTGCCCAACCCCCTGCTCACCTACCAGCTCTACGACAAGTTTGCAGTGAGTACATGGCCATAACCCAACACAACTCCAACTGAAAGGGCTACCCATTGTCAAAGGCTAAACTTGCCATCTGTTTGTCCCTGGTCTTCCTCCGTAGGACTGTATGGGAGAGATGACGGATGACGAGCGCATGGTGAAAGTACATGATGTCATCCAGCAGCTCCCACCACCGCACTACAGGTATACACATAACACAGCCATGGAGACAGCGACTACAGGTATACACATAACACAGCCATGGAGACAGCGACTACAGGTATACACAAACACAGCCATGGAGACAGCGACTACAGGTATACACATAACACAGCCATGGAGACAGCGACTACAGGTATACACATAACACAGCTATGGAGACAGCGACTACAGGTATACACATAACACAGCCATGGAGACAGCAACTACAGGTATACACATAACACAGCTATGGAGACAGAGACTACAGGTATACACATAACACAGCCATGGAGACAGCGACTACAGGTATACACATAACACAGCCATGGAGACAGCGACTACAGGTATACACATAACACAGCCATGGAGACAGCGACTACAGGTATACACATAACACAGCCATGGAGACCTAGACGACAGGTATGCACATAACACAGCCATGGAGACAGAGGCTACAGGTATACACATAACACAGCCATGGAGACAGCGACTACAGGTATACACATAACACAGCCATGGAGACAGCGACTACAGGTATACACATAACACAGCCATGGAGACAGCGACTACAGGTATACACATAACACAGCCGTGGAGACAGCGACTACAGGTATACACATAGCACAGCCATGGAGACAGCGACTACAGGTATACACATAACACAGCCGTGGAGACAGAGACTACAGGTATACACATAACACAGCCGTGGAGACCGAGACTACAGGTATACACATAATACAGCCATGGAGACAGATCCCAGACTGTGGACTGATGTCTATCTCTGTCAGGACCTTGGAGTACCTCATTAGACACCTGGCTGGTCTGGCCACCTGCAGCGGAGAGACCAACATGCACATCAAGAACCTGGCCATCGTCTGGGCCCCCAACCTGCTCAGGTGTGTGTCTGTGTGTACCTACTGTACCTGTATGTGTGCATTGTGGAACGGTTCATATAGAAATACAGTGGGGGAAAAAGTATTTAGTCAGCCACCAATTGTGCAAGTTCTCCCACTTAAAAAGATGAGAGGCCTGTAATTTTCATCATAGGTACACGTCAACTATGACAGACAAATTGAGGAAAAAAAATCCAGAAAATCACATTGTAGGATTTCTTATGAATTTATTTGCAAATTATGGTGGAAAATAAGTATTTGGTCACCTACAAACAAGCAAGATTTCTGGCTCTCACAGACCTGTAACTTCTTCAAGAGGCTCCTCTGTCCTCCACTCGTTACCTGTATTAATGGCACCTGTTTGAACTTGTTATCAGTATAAAAGACACCTGTCCACAACCTCAAACAGTCACACTCCAAACTCCACTATGGCCAAGACCAAAGAGCTGTCAAAGGACACCAGAAACAAAATTGTAGACCTGCACCAGGCTGGGAAGACTGAATCTGCAATAGGTAAGCAGCTTGGTTTGAAGAAATCAACTGTGGGAGCAATTATTAGGAAATGGAAGACATACAAGACCACTGATAATCTCCCTCGATCTGGGGCTCCACGCAAGATCTCACCCCGTGGGGTCAAAATGATCACAAGAACGGTGGGCAAAAATCCCAGAACCACACGGGGGGACCTAGTGAATGACCTGCAGAGAGCTGGGACCAAAGTAACAAAGCCTACCATCAGTAACACACTACGCCCCCAGGGACTCAAATCCTGCAGTGCAAGACGTGTCCAGGCCCGTCTGAAGTTTGCTAGAGTGCATTTGGATGATCCAGAAGAGGATTGGGAGAATGTCATATGGTCAGATTTTTTGGTAAAAACTCAACTCGTCGTGTTTGGAGAACAAAGAATACTGAGTTGCATCCAAAGAACACCATACCTACTGTGAAGCATGGGGGTGGAAACATCATGCTTTGGGGCTGTTTTTCTGCAAAGGGAGCAGGACGACTGATCCGTGTAAAGGAAAGAATGAATGGGGCCATGTATCGTGAGATTTTGAGTGAAAACCTCCTTCCATCAGCAAGGGCATTGAAGATGAAACGTGGCTGGGTCTTTCAGCATGACAATGATCCCAAACACACCGCCCGGGCAACGAAGGAGTGGCTTCGTAAGAAGCATTTCAAGGTCCTGGAGTGGCCTAGCCAGTCTCCAGATCTCAACCCCATAGAATATCTTTGGAGGGAGTTGAAAGTCCGTGTTGCCCAGCGACAGCCCCAAAACATCACTGCTCTAGAGGAGATCTGCATGGAGGAATGGGCCAAAATACCAGCAACAGTGTGTGAAAACATTGTGAAGACTTACAGAAAACGTTTGACCTGTGTCATTGCCAACAAAGGGTATATAACAAAGTATTGAGAAACTTTTGTTATTGACCAAATACTTATTTTCCACCATAATTTGCAACTAAATTCATTAAAAAATCCTACAATGTGATTTTCTGGATTTTCTCTCCTCATTTTGTCTGTCATAGTTTACGTGTACCTATGATGAAAATTACAGGCCTCATCTTTTTAAGTGGAAGAACTTGCACAATTGGTGGCTGACTAAATACTTTTTTTTCCCCCACTGTACATTGTTTAGAACAGATGTGCCTCTGACATTTACAGTGAGGAATCATGTCGGCTCTATTCATGGCATTTCTATCTGCAACACCGTCCTGGAGTTGACCCTGGTGTGGCTGTGTGTTGTCTCCATGGCAGGTCTATGGAGATCGAGTCGGTGGGTCTGAGTGGTGCTGACCCGTTTAAGGAGGTGCGGATCCAGTCTGTGGTGGTGGAGTTTCTCCTCAGTCACGTGGACGTGCTCTTCAGTGACTCTTTCACCTCTGTAGGACGCTTTACAGGCACAGGTATGAACATCACCATAATCCCAATGCTGCCGTCTCTAACGCTCACTGGACACAATCCTCCTAACTTGAGTTCCATCTGTGTGGAAAAACACACATTTCCCATTGAAATCAAAGTCGCCAATCGTCAGTAACGTGTGTATGGATTTCAAGTTAGGATTCGACTGAAAATGTATTTTCTCCTTCAGCTGCTCTCCTTCAGAGTGCTCCCTCTGTCCTCTCTCCCTCTGTATCAGCTTTTTTGGTATTGTGTTTTCAATGCCACACACAGAGCATTACCTCAGAGCCTCAAAGCCTCTTTTTATTACCTACAGTAGCTAGCTTTACCACTCTGCCAGCCAGGCTTCCTCTAACCTCTACAACTTAATGCTTTTAGTTGTTTGGTTAAACAGAACGCTTTGGTAAAAGCCCTGTAAATAATGGATGACACTTCTACCGCCATTACAACTGTCACCACCGCCCACTGTCCTCCGCTTTTTACCCCGCAAATGCTGTAAATCTATGAGAACGACTCTACTTTAATGATTTTATGATACTAATATTTCATTTCACACTTTGCTTGCCTCGCAGCACAGTAAGAAATGTGTCTTGAATAGTCTAAAATGTCAGTAATATAAGTGATTTGTGCATTAAAATATTTTTCCACTGTATCCATTTGCTAAGTAATTGATTGTCCAAAACGTTTTACAATATTTGCCAACATTTTGTTCTTTACTCTCAATAAACATCAGTATTAAATATGGAATAAAACTGAAAACTTGCCATAAAGTGAGCCCTCAGCCACACTGATACTGTAGCCATCCCACTGGGCATAGACGTCAAGTCAACATCTGTTCCACGTTGTTTCAATGTAATTTCATTGAAATGACGTGGAAACAACGTTGATTCAACCAGTGTATGCCCAGTGGGATGGAAGCAGTAGATAGTGAGTGAGAGCTGTGTGTCTCCGTAGCGACGGGCAAGCTGGAGCGTAAGGTCTCTCGGCAGCACCAGAGAACCAGGCTGATGAGTCTGCAGGAGGCCAGGGGTGAGGAGGAGTTGGTGGGGGAGGCCAGGGGTGAGGAGGTCCCTAAGGCCCCCAGGCCCCCTACAGTGTCTGCTCCTCTTCAGGAAGTCACCGTAGAGAGGCGATGCTACTCCATGTTCTGACCAGCCGTGCCTTCTCTCTCTCTCAATGCTGGATCCTTACAAGCGCTCTATAGCGTTGATTGGTTTATTTTAGGCTTGGTCTATTTTTGGCTTCTGTGTGACCCATACGTTTGTCTGTCTGAGATCTCTGTACGATGTGTCTCATCATATTGGATTTTGTCCTTTGTTTTCCAGTAGATAGTAAGTATAGCCTAGTTTTGTGAATGCTGATATGATATGTTTGTATAAACCCAGTGTCTCTTCAGGGTTGAGTCACTGGTCAACTGTGAACTCTCACATGATTGTTATATTGACAGTTGAATAGGCAATAAACTTCCATCCTGGTTCAAATTCATCCCATCTTGAAGTAAACGTGGTCGGTTACATTTTGTGTGTACTCCAATATTTGTTTTTGTCATTTTAAATAGTTATTAAAGTAACTTTTAGGTTGTTTTGTGCTGTAATGCTCAAAATATTAAAGAATAACTGTAGTTTTGAAAAATGTGTCACAAATGCTGTGGATGTTTCTTTTAAGAGGATTACATTGAGGCAGAACAAGCAGGTAAAACAACAATGTTGAATTTATTATTCCCAGCTTCCATTATCTGTTTTGTCTTGTCAGCTAGCTAAATAATCAATAGGCCCTATAGCTCAAATGTTTAACCTCAGTATTGTCTACAGATCAGCAGTATCTGTGTGCTTCTCCAGCTGAAGAGTATCTGTCAGCATCCCAGCCAGGGCTCAGTTAGATGCTTGCTTTGTGTCTCAGACTCTTTTTTTTTTTTTTTTTGGGTATCTCAGATTGTTCTGGCTATTCTCACAGAAACTTAATTGGGAGGATGAATGTTTGATATGGTTTTAACATTTGTATCACAAACCATTTGGGAGAAAATCATGATGAAAGTGGCTTTTTTAGGCCCTTTTTAGACCTAAGCCTCTTAAGACTCTGTGAACTGTGCATGATAAAGACAACATCTTGGTGTCATTATACTCCTTATAGTGTGCTCTAAAATATGGATTATGTCTAGATTATGACATAAAATAACATTTATTCAACATAAAAAATATTAATGTGAATATCTCGTACCATTTTGATTTTGTGCATTTTTAGACATTTGTTTTAAACAATATACTATACATGTACTTGAACTTTTAAACTCTGCTACTTTTGAAGTTATGATCAATTATGTGAGCACCACCAGTGAATGGGAAAATGGATTCAAAGGAACTCCCTCTGCTGGTGATTTGCTGAATGTGATTGCTTAATGACCTATGATGTCAATTTCTATGTATGAAATGGTCACGTCTTCAAAAGTAGCAGAGCACCCACTCTGGAAGTTTGACGTGTTGTTCCAAACAATATGTCAAAAAAAATATGCTAAATCAAAAAGGGTACTTTTGAGATATTAATATGAATATTGTTATGTTGAGTACATTTGTGAAACATTGTATTGCAGTAAATTAATATGGGAAAAATATTTCCGGCCTTTCCTGGCGTGGAATCACCCTAGCAGACACTGTTACAGTACTCTGTTAATTGCATTATGATAATACATATTTGTTAAGATGTCAATCCTGTCTGATGACATTTGAAACAAAGCTTTTGGCCACTGTCACCGAAGCCTCCTCACATTCCCACCCTATTACTAACTGTAGGGCCTCTTTCTGCCTGCAGGGCGGCACTCTCTGACCAGGCCCAGGTCCTTTGTGTCCACCAGGCTGCTCTCCCTAGAAGAGGCCCAGGCCAGGACACAGGCTCCTCTGCTCCTCCAGGGTGCGCCAGTCCATTTCCAGGGCCAGTTCCACACTGTGCTGGACCTACCTGTCGACAGGTGAGTGGGAGGCCAGGCTTATTCCAGACCATGAACGTTTCTGTAGTTTTACTATCACATGCACTTGATTTAGCGATCTCACCTACCTAAATCTCTCTCTCTCTTGCTCCCCTACAGGAGGAAGAGGGGGATGAAGGTACGGAAGGCAGCTGGAGGGAGCTGGAAGACTTTCTTTGCAATCGGGAAGCCCCCGGGGGCGGGGCGACGTAAACCAATGAGGATCAGCTCCCTGTTCCAGCCTGCCACCTCACACGCAGGTAGATATGATGTCTGCTTCAGACCACACCCACACACCAGGGGTATGTTCAGACAATTTACATGGATGGATGGAAAATAAATACCAACTCCACAGTTTAAGTCGCCCCTTTTGATCCCCTTCTCTCTTTGTATGACAGATCTCCCTTTCTCTCTCTCTCTGGCGGTCTCTCTCTCCCTCTCCTCTCTCTCTCCTTGGTCTCTCCTCCAGGTTGCCGTGTGGACAGTGTGACCCTGCGTTCAGCTAAGAGTGAGGAATCGTTATCGTCGCAGCACAGTGGAGCAGGTACAGCACAGTAGGCCATAACACACTCACTGATGCTAATACTGCTACTCATCTCAGCAGGTTAAGACCTCTCAGCCAGATCGATAGCAGAGCCTCTCTCTTTTTGTCCATTAAGTATAGCGTATGAGATGTGTCTCTGTCAGGGGAGGCTGTGGAAGAGAATGGATGTGTCTGGAAGCAGTGCTGATAGTTTGAGTGATTTTGGGCAGTCTGAGTAGAATGGATCCTTTGGGAGCTGTGGGTTAGGTACTGAGCACTACAGAAACACTTATTTGAACCCCTGACAATTCCCTGTTTTTGTTTTTTTCTCACTTTCTCTCTCTTCCTACCTCTACTTCTCGCTCTCTCAGGACAGTCGAAGCGTCTGCGACGGCCCTGCTCCAGCAGTGACGGTCTGTCTTTGGCTGCCTCCATGGACCCCCAGCACCTGCCCCAGCGCCCCCCGTCCCGCCTGCCTTCCAGCCGCTCCTATGACAGCCTGCTGCCTGAGGACCGCCGGCTCAGGGACGATGGAGACGATGAGGAGGATGAAGACGAGGAAGGCATCTACATGCTGCCTGACTTCTCCAACCAGGACCCGGCTGCTTCCTGGATGGCAGAGGACGTCATCGACTTCAGCCCCACCTTCCTGGAGGACGGGCCAATCGGCTTGGGCAGCGCAGTCACCGCGGGCGGCAGGCAGTCCCCGCCCACTGCCACGCCCCCTCCCTACCGCTGCCTCAGCCACCAAGGACACTCCCACTCCAGCAGCCAGCGCTCAATCACAGAGGACCCCGACTCGGTGCTCAACCAATCAGATGCGGCCGTCAGGAGGAGTCTGATCATAGCCGCCACAGCCCCGCCCCTTCAGGTGTTCTGTCAACACAGACCGGCCAATACCAGCCCATCTGCCGGCCAATTAGGGGAGGGCACCAACCTGAGTCCTTCCCACAGTCAAGGCCAGGGCCAGCCCATTACACCTGCGACCTCTGCCCCCTCTGCTCAGCCCCCGCCAGAGAGAAGATCTTTCACCCGGAAGATGGTGAACGCCTTCTCACAAAAAGCCCCAAAGTCCCCTCCACTGGACATCTCTGACCCTGTATCCATCAGCGTCCCAGCTAAGGTACTTCCTCCCTCTCTGTGTCACTGCTGTCCCTGTATTTATGTATCTCAGGAGTGGAGTTTATCAAACTTGACTTTCTCCCTCGTAGGTGTTGGACATGATTGGCGGGCGAGCTGGCGAATTACAGCCCGGCATCCCGAGTAGCGGTCCCTCCCAGTCGCAGCCTCCTCAGATGATCTCCATGCTGCTGAGGTCATGTGACTTCCAGCTGACGGAGAGCTGCCAGCAGGAGATCCGCAGCAAGCTGGGCCCCGAGGCCAAGATCAGAGGACAGGGTGAGTAGACAGGAATGGACTCGGCCAACAAGTTTGATTGATTGCTTGAATGTATTAGTTAATTGATTTATAATCATAATCAAAAAAATGTTTGTTTTCAATGATGATTTTAGGTTTTACTGCAGACCATAGTCATGTAATTTAACCGTTCTCTCCCCTCTACAGGTATATCAGGACCCACCGGTGCCCCCCTGCTTTCCCAGCCTCCCCCTCCCCCTCCTAAAAACCCAGCGCGCCTCATGGCCCTGGCCCTGGCTGAGAGTGCCAACAAGGCCCTGAGACAGGGCGCCTCACCCCCCTACCGCCCCCCTCAGTCCCGGTCCCAGGACGCAGCCGACACCCGCTACCAGAGGTCCCTGTCTGCCGACGCAGGAGAGCAGCTTTCCTCTGACCCCAATCAGCTCTACTCCACAGTGCGCCCCCTGTCTGTGTGGATGACCGAGGGAGAGGGAAACACGACAGAGACAGCAGCAGATACAGGACACAGCCAGGGAGAGAGGACTCCAGGACAGGTGTGTGTGGGGGAGCGTGTGTGGAAGTGTGCACATGTCTGTAAGTGGCACTGTATGGGTGTGACTTTGTGTTGTGGTCAATTCTAAGTGGTGGATATGTTGTTTTGACTGTCTGTTGTGCTAGAGATGTTTTAGTTTTGGGCTCCATATGAAGAACAACAACAGTGCTGTCAGGTCATTTCATTTCCTAACCATAACAAGCAAGATGTTTACAGTTGCCTGGGCAAATTAGATTCCTTCCTTTTTTAACTGTTGTTGTTATGAGGAGACTATGACAAAGCCCATGTTCTATTTTCAGAGCTGGTTAATCATGCATAGACAACAGTACTGTAAAGTATATCTGGCCGCATGTAGCTACAGCATGCATGACTAACCAGTACTGTAACTTACTGTATGGCAGTAAAAGAAATGTCAAGTTATATATATATATATATACACACATATATACAGTGGGGGGAAAAAGTATTTAGTCAGCCACCAATTGTGCAAGTTCTCCCACTTAAAAAGATGAGAGAGGCCTGTACTTTTCATCATAGGTGCACGTCAACAATGACAGACAAATTGAGAAAAAAAAATCCAGAAAATCACATTGTAGGATTTTTTATGAATTTATTTGCAAATTATGGTGGAAAATAAGTATTTGGTCACCTACAAACAAGCAAGATTTCTGGCTCTCACAGACCTGTAACTTCTTCTTTAAGAGGCGCCTCTGTCCTCCACTCGTTACCTGTATTAATGGCACCTGTTTGAACTTGTTATCAGTATAAAAGACACCTGTCCACAACCTCAAACAGTCACACTCCAAACTCCACTATGGCCAAGACCAAAGAGCTGTCAAAGGACACCAGAAACAAAATTGTAGACCTGCACCAGGCTGGGAAGACTGAATCTGCAATAGGTAAGCAGCTTGGTTTGAAGAAATCAACTGTGGGAGCAATTATTAGGAAATGGAAGACATACAAGACCACTGATAATCTCCCTCGATCTGGGGCTCCACGCAAGATCTCACCCCGTGGGGTCAAAATGATCACAAGAACGGTGAGCAAAAATCCCAGAACCACATGGGGGGACCTAGTGAATGACCTGCGGAGAGCTGGGACCAAAGTAACAAAGCCTACCATCAGTAACACACTACGCCGCCAGGGACTCAATCCTGCAGTGCCAGACGTGTCCCCCTGCTTAAGCCAGTACATGTCCAGGCCCGTCTGAAGTTTGCTAGAGTGCATTTGGATGATCCAGAAGAGGATTGGGAGAATGTCATATGGTCAGATGAAACCAAAATATAACTTTTTGGTAAAAACTCAACTCGTCGTGTTTGGAGGACAAAGAATGCTGAGTTGCATCCAAAGAACACCTACTGTGACGCATGGGGGTGGAAACATCATGCTTTGGGGCTGTTTTTCTGCAAAGGGACCAGGACGACTGATCCGTGTAAAGGAAAGAATGAATGGGGCCATATATCGTGAGATTTTTAGTGAAAACCTCCTTCCATCAGCAAGGGCATTGAAGATGAAACGTGGCTGGGTCTTTCAGCATGACAATGATCCCAAACACCACCGCCCGGGCAACGAAGGAGTGGCTCGTAAGAAGCATTTCAAGGTCCTGGAGTGGGCCTAGCCAGTCTCCAGATCTCAACCCATAGAAAATCTTTGGAGGGAGTTGAAAGTCTGTGTTGCCCAGCGACAGCCCCAAAACATCACTGCTCTAGAGGAGATCTGCATGGAGGAATGGGCCAAAATACCAGCAACAGTGTGTGAAAACCAACAGTTATTGACCAAATACTTATTTTCCACCATAATTTGCAAATAAATTCATAAAATCCTACAATGTGATTTTCTGGATTATTTTTTCTCATTTTGGTCTGTCATAGTGACGTGTACCTATGATGAAAATTACAAGGCCTCCATCTTTTTAAGTGGGAGAACTTGCACAATTGGTGGCTGACTAAATACTTTTTTTCCCCCACTGTACATACACATATATATATGTATGTGTGTGTGTGTGTGTGTGTGTATTATTTTTTTAATGCAGGATACTCTGTCCTCTGAGACGTCTGACTCTGTGGCGTCCAACTCGGAGATGTCTGGTGGGAGCGCCTCTGGAGACGACCAGACCCCCAGCCCCATCTACAAGAACCAGAAGCAGTTTCCCCACACCCAGTCACAGCCCCCCAAACCAGGCCAGTCTGGGGAGAGACGCAGCCCCACTGAGTCCCAGTCTCAGAGGAAGCCCCCAGCCTACTCACGCCAGTTCTCTGCCCCTCACCTCCAACAGAAATCCATCTCAACCTCCACCCAATCCAAGCCGTCCTCGGCCCACCCCCAGCTCATGCACTCCAAGTCAGAGTCCCCTCTGGCTCAGGTCTGTGCCTTCCAGCCCACCCGCCCCAAAGTGCCCCCTAAGCCCCTGGATCTGGAGCGTCCCCAGAGAGCACCACTGGCCCAGACTGAGATGCGTCGCTCCCTGGACTCAGGGCGCATCAGGCGGATCTTTGGTCAGCAGGGGAACCCTCCTCTGGCCAGAGCCTTCTCAGAGCGTCTAAGTGGAGCTCCAGACCACCTCGCCCGTTACCACGCAGCCAGGGCAGCCAGCCAACCATCCCCGGGTAAGCAGCCCCCACAGCAGGCCCAGATCCGGCCCGTGCCCATCTCCTCCACCTCAGAGGACCAGGGAAAGATGGAGAACTTTTACTACGAGATTGCCGGGCCTGAGAACCCACAGGGCCCCCCCAGCTACGCCCGCCACAGCTACCAGAACATGAGGCTGGACCTGGAGGGTAACTTCCGCCCGGCCCCCCACCCAGAGGCCAACCAAAGGCCCATCTCCCGGGGGCATCACCAACACCAACCCCAGCCTCTCCACCACAACCGGGGTGGGCCCAGAGGGGAGAGGGGGCCCCAGCTCTGGTCCAAAGAGGCCACGCGGGCTTGGGCAGCCGCCCACTCCCAGTCCCACTCATTCTCCCACGGCCACTCCCACTCTCACCACCACTCCCAGGACGGCTCCCATCACCCCTCTCACCACCACCCCCGGCCCCAGCGCCAGACCTCCTCCTCAGTCCGGCTGGCCCGTAGTGAGATGCACCCCCTCCCCTCCTCCTCCATGGTTCCCCTGGCGCTCCACCAGCACCAACGCAGCCTCCACCGCTCCAACAGGTCAGCCTCCACAGACCTCACCGTCTCCCAGCTACACCCCTATTTTGAAAATGGGAAGGTGTGCTATCGTAAGCCAGAGGAGGCTCCTCTGAGTCTGAGCCAGCCTCCTCAGGGCAAGTCTATCCAGGGCCAGCCATCCCAGCCCTCCCCTCCCCAGGCCCACAGACCGACCTCCAAGGACCAGTCTGAGCCCATCTACGTCAACTTCCCTTTCCCCAGCCCCTCTACTGGGGCCAAAAACACGAAGAGCTGGACAACCACAGACCTGGATGGAGACTCTCCGCAGGGGTCTGAACCTCTTGCCACGCCAACCGACCCCCCTCCCCCAGTGGACCAGAGACAGTCCTCCCCCCGCCTGGCCCCTGACCAGGGAGGCTCCACCAGCGTCAGCCTCACCCCCTCCACTCCAGACAGCCCAGCTGCCCACAACGACTCGGCAGCAACGACCCCAGGGAGCATCCAGGAGAGTGACTTCCTCCCAGCGCCCACAGCGTCTACATCGACAGGGGTCCACTACCGCAGCCACTCAGACCCCCAGAGCTCCAGCTGCAGTACGGAGCCCATCCAGGGCCTGTCGGGGAAGGAGATCGCCTCCCTGCTGATAGAGAAGCTGGCTGAGGAGGAGAGGGCTGAGGGTCCCTCCACAGTCACCTCCTCCTCTGACTCCACCAGCTCCTCCCCTGCGATGGAGCACCCTCCCAACCCCTACCCCAGCCAGCAGCACAACCAGCCCCTGCCTGCCTACAATGTCTACACCCCGGGCCCCTCACGGAGCAGGGCTCCTCAGAGCGCCGGGGCAGGGGGCTTCCAACGCCAAGACCTGCTCCGGAGGTCCTCGTCCGGGGGTCAGTACAGGCAGGCCTTTGATGTCATGCCCTCAGGCGATCAGGTGCTCAAATACTACCGGACCCAAGAATTTACCCCTGGGCCCCAGGGAGAGCGCCAGAGCTCTGCCGCTAACCCCTACCCACCTCGGCAGCACTACCAGGTGCCCCCCTACCCCATCCAGAGCCCCCAGGATCCCCACCCCTCCGGCTACCCCTGCCAGCCCCTCTCGGACCCCTCCACCTCGCCGTCTGCGGCCTTCTCCAACCTGACGCTGGGAGCCCCCAGGCCCTACCCCGGCCAGCCAGGAGGCCTCCAGTACAGCCAGTACCCATTCCAGCCTGGCCCGGTGCTGGGCCAATACCCTAACCCTCCCCCCCGCCGAGATGTAGTCCACGAGCCGGTGCTGCGGCCGCAGGGCCTAAGGAACCAGAGAGGGCTGGCACGGCAGGGCAGCTTACCTGGACCATCACCCAACTGGACCATCCATACTGAGGGTCAGACACGCAGCTACTGCTGAGGAGGAGCACAAAGTAGACTTATTTTACGTACTGTACCCTATCAGACTGACTGTGTGAAAGAGCTAGGAAGACACCAGTGTAAAAGTCACATGGTCCACAGAGAAAGGGAACAGGACGATAGAAAGCCTTCCTGGAGACGTGAGACAACAGGTCATGTTTAGAAATGGGACCAAGGGCAAAGTCATTCTGGGATAGCTAGACATACAGTCCAGTTTCCTGTTTGAACATTCCCTGGGCCTATCACCATTTCACATGACCACTTCACATGATGGAACAATGATGGAAGGCGAAGAAGAGATCAAAGAGGTGAACCGAAAAGTGGCTTAGATTTGAAAACATTCCAGAGCAGACTGTTGTTGTGAGCGTTGAGAAAAAAAGGCGAATAGCTGCCAGGGTCTTTTCTGGATCAAAATGGGGCTTAGGTGGTGGGTGTGGCCAATGGTGCAATGGCCGAGCGAAAATTTTAGAGCCCCTTCTGTTGGCCGCAGTGACAAAATGTAGCGTTTTTATCTGCAATTCTACACATTTTGCCCTTGCTTATGCTATCTGAGTGTCTCAAAACATAACAAAATCAATGGGGATCCCATGCCATGACAAAAACTCCTGAATGCTTCATTTTTTGGAATTTTAGATTGTCCCTGACTGTCTAGCTTTTATTTTGGTGATTGTTAGTTCTCTAAGATGATCTTATTAAAAAATATATAGGTCCATTATCTTTTCGACATACTTTATATCTGTTTTTAGTAATTTAAGTTTACACTGAAAACGTTTTCCATCCCGAAAATTATTTATTATAAAATAATTATTATATAAAAATAAAATATATATAATAATATATATATAATTTTTTTTTTTTTTTTTTTCACATAAGCGGCCTGGAAAAGCACTTAGGCAGCCCGCCCAATACTTTTTTATGCAGAAAAAACCCTGGCTGCTGTACTTTTTTAAGGGAGTATTAGGTATTCTGCACAGTGGCTGTGTTGTTAGACTGGCTGTGGGTTAGGTTTGATTGGGTTTGCCTTTGTTTCTTACAAGGTTGTAGTACTGAGAGAGGACTACACAGGGAAATAACCTCAGTCTTTCTCCTTTTTTAAAAGAAGAACCTCAAAAGCTGCTGATTTGGTTTAGTGGATTTCAGAAGCTTGATTTTACATGTTGTATTTATTTTGTTTTTAGTTTCGAGGAATGCATGTAATATAGATAATTTGTGTGAAATAATAAGTCTGTCGTTCCACCTATTCGGTGCCTTTTGAGATGTGTAACTTGGTGATTTATTGTTTGTTGATTTCACCTACTTTAGACATTCTGTCATAAAGAGCACATGTTCAACTTAATAAAAAAACAAGTTTTCCCATCTCAAGAGGTTAAATAAGAAAATTTTACATTTATATTTTAGTCATTTAGCAGACGCTCTTATCCAGAGCGACTTACAGTTAGTGAGTGCATACATTTTCAAAATGACTATAGTAAGTGCCAAATAAAGTAACAGGGTTGACTGTAACAGGGTTGACAATTTAATCTTAAATAAACCATAAATCCCCTTGTGGCAGGGGAAACCCAATCAAAGCTTGTTGTGTGCAACAGGGAGGGGCAATTGAATGCAACCTTCACAAAATAATACAATTGTTATAAAATGTCTAGCCTGGGTATCTATGGTTAACAGGGTTGACGTGTTCTGCTCGGCCAATCAGTTTTCCACCACAAAACACAAGATTTATTTCTAAAAGAACCAGCTCACCTGCTCTTACTCTGTTATTTTGATGTTCAATGTTTTTTATTATTTAAAAAGGAATAGTTTCACCATATTAAAACAAGTTCAGTTCAAATAACAGGGTTAACCTTAAAATTAAGGACAGGTTTATTTCTTCCTTAAAATGAATGACTAATCACATTAAATTAATAATAATCTTCAGAAATGATGAACAAAATAACTGGCTTTACAATGATGGTGAAAACTTGGAGACATTTTGGAAGTCACAGAGGGTGCACAGAGGGACATAGCAAAATGCAGAATTTTGGAACTTTAGCAAGTCTTTATTCATATAAAAAATGTGTATATTGAATTCTCCATGTGGTCTATGTGAAAGGGCACTTCATTGAATATAACGCTTTTAAAATGCAGTATTTGTGCACAATTTTGTACTTAAAATATCAAAGGGACGCAAAAGGCACTTATTTCGTGGAACGACCCAAGTATAATTTGATTTGTTTAAATTGTTATCCCTGGACAGAATGTGAGTGTGTGAATGCATGTCTAAATGTGTCCATGTAAACCAATGACGAGTGTCTCTCATGGTGAGCTAAAAAGCACATAATTCAGCAAATGAAAAACTGAAACAAAACATTGCCTTCTGTTTTAGGGAAACTGTTTTTACCGATAGTACTTTTGTCGTTTTAGGATTAGTGGTATAACACTAGTTTGTGCTGTCATTCTGAATGCTGGATGTGTGTGTCTATCTCTCTGTCTGACTGCAGAAAGTTTGGACTGTGTGTCTTATCTAATGTACTTATTCTTGAAGGATGTTTTTGTACATGTTAAAAAGTCTAACAGATGCTTTTATCCAAAGCAATGTAATGTGCTGATAATACAATACCACTCACACTGGTCCTCAGTTGTTTTTCTATATCCATATTGATTGAATACAATGTCCTTACCTCCATTTTGGGAGTTGTACTCACTGCCTGCCCCTATGCAACATATCCCTGACACATACAACACATTACTAAAGATGTGATGACTCAGTGGAGGCAGAAACCACATACTATATTTGTTAATATCATTCCATTTACAAACCACCATGTCTTAATTCATGTCTCCCCCATTCTTGCGTTGGGACTGCAATACTGGTATTGGACAGCAGGGGGAGACACCTCATCTTGGTAGATCATTACCTGTGCTGTAATGGTTTTTGCACAGACCTTTCCACTATATTGAACTGTGTGTGCGTGCGCGCACATGTATATGTGTATATCACTTCACTTACTGTCGCTATTGTGTCGGCTACAAAACTGTTTCAATCCTTTCCCAGTCGTTACTGTCTCACTAATGTCTTTGTGGATACTTTTCCATCACAGATAATGTCCCAGTGTAGTTGGTATTGTAGGAGAGCTAAACAAAGGACAAGGTTGTATTAGGCTAGTTTAGCTTAGCAGTGCTGTCCATTGAACATTGGGAACTAGACATCTTTTCAGGGGTGTTTCCTCAACTGTGTTGTGATGCCACTGTAGTGAAGTGCGAGGGAAGGGAGAGCGGTTTTGTAACGGGGGTGAGAATGTGAAATATAATGCCAGTATTCCTCACGTGGCACTTCTGAGATGTACTTTGGTTATTGTTCAACGTGCCTTTTTGATGAACAATCGTTTGGTTCCGTAAAGCATGTTAAGGCGTCCGGGTTGGTAACATTGTGAATGGTATCTTGCCAGGTGCGCTATAGCTCTTTTACTATGAAGGTACAAGGCAGCATACAGGACCTATAGCTATGGTACTCTTAGTGTCCCTAAACTCCTTAGATTAGATTAAAGACAATTGCACATTTTCATTGAACTCCCTAATGACTCTGGCTTTTTGAAGGATCATTATTTGTGTGAACGCATGTGTGTTCTCTGTTACTGTATGTGTGTGGGTGTGTGCGAGTATGGTCCTGTTGTGTGAGCAAGCATGCATCCCTCCCGCTTCTCTTTATATCTATGCAGTGACCAAGTACATTGAACTCCATAAAAGTTGGGATGACTTAAAATGGCTATACTACCTATGTGTGTATTGTATTACAGGTGTGTGTGTGTGTGGATGTAACCTGCATTTTCAGTCCAATACTATCCCTTTCAGCCTTATAGCACTTGGCAAAAGGCAGTTAATCTTATTTTGTAATATTTTCCAAGGTGTGAATTAAAAACCTGATGGTTGCATCGAAGATGAAACAATTTGTCCTTGTTTTTTCCTGAACTGCGGATTTTGTCATTGAATAGAATACAAAAATAAATAATAATTAAATGTGTAAACATACAATGGACATTTGAAGATTAAGACATTTTAAAGTTGTCGTTTCATCAGCAATTTTAAATTAATATATTCTTCATCCATATATTTACTTTACCATTATGCAGCCTGAAGCTAAACTAGTTCTGCATTCTGGCTGTAACCCACAGAGTAGAATAGCGGAAAACAAAGGAAACATTATCCTTCAGCTGCATAGATGGCCTTCAAACAGTTATTCTTTATGCCAGGAGACCCATTTTGTTGTCTTTGGTCCAATGTCCTGATATATCGTCAAATGAATTGTGAACAATGGGGCGATCTTCAATGCAGGGTGTGATTTGTGTTACCCTGTGCTGTGACGTCACCTGAAGTTGGTTGTACATCCTGACAAACCTGACCAAAAGGCACTCCTACTTTTGATGAGGGTTTATCAAATTAGACAGAGACTAAAATATTTGTGTGTGAGGTAATCCATAGGTGTGCAGGTAAAGCCATGTCCATACACGAAACACAGCGCAGTGAGTTCTCCATGTTTTTGCTTTTGACACACCCAGACAGCAAATACTGGTAAACCAGAAAAGAATACCTGATATTGCACAATTGTCATATACTGTAAAAAAATATATATAAAAACAATTTCCAAAGGAAGGGTTGGACCATTTAGGATAATTTGAGTACAACAGTTGTTATACAGTGCCTAGCAAAACTATTAACACCCCTTGGATTTCTATTGTTACAAAGTGTGATTAAAATTGATTTAATTGTCGTTTTTTGTCAATCTACACAAAATACTCTGTTAAAGTGGAAGAGAAATTATATATATTTTTTAAAGATTGATACAAAATGTATAACTAAAATATAGTCGTTGCATAAGTATTCCGAATTTTTGTTTAGGCAATCCTAAATGAGTTCAGGAGTAAAATTTGGCTTAACAAATCACAGAAGTTAAATGGACTCACTCTGTGTGAAATAATAGGGCTTGACATGATTTTTGAATGATTAACCCTTCCTCTGTCCCCCATA